CCAATGTCTTTCTTGTAAAGCCACAGATTTAAAATGCAAGTGAAGCGGGAATTATGTCTCTGAAGAGCATCAATTGCCTTGACTTTGATTAGAAAAAAACGAGATAAATGCGGATTTATTTCGGAAGTTGACTTACAAGTTGCATTACAGCTTACCAAGTTAACGACCTAATGAATCTCTGCGAACTTTCTCGGCTAATTTTCCAACTCAACAGTTTTCGGCAAACTTGTACCGAAGCGACACTTGGCTGGCACTCTAATTAATTTTGCATGAGCAGCCAGCTACTTGCATTAGGGACTAATTTGTAACTTGTATCCAACACTTTTATCATTTGATTTATCAAATGAACTACTGAATTACTCATACGCCCTGTTAGCCGCACTCGAGCAGCTGCTGGCCCTCGTTATGATTAAATTATTCGTCGGAAGGGTCCTTAAATTATGCAGCTGTTGCTTTTAATTTACACCCGCCTGGTTAGAGAGGTTAAGAGAGATGGCTAAGAAAAATGACCAGCTTCAAGGACGGCAGAAAATTGAACGAAAACACTTGGCCGGAAAGTCGTGGCTTTAGCTGACTCTGCCCCATTACACAGATTTCTCCAAGGTACTGAAAAAAAAGGGGGGACCAGGAAACGTGGAAACTGACCGCAACGAAATTGGTGCGGATGTGGGTCAACCCAGGATGGCACCTGACCAGGTTGACAAACATCGGGGCCGAGTAGATTGCTTCATGCAGGTGCCATTAGCATTTGTCAGCCGCAACCGCCCCTCGGAACTTTTAGAACTTGTAAACTAGAAATTTATGCTCCTTAAAGTTGACATTTTTTCCCGCCCTTCTCAGCCGGCTTGTTGTTTATTTAAGAGGTACGTGACGCCTCCGGAACGCCATCCAGATTGATTTCAGCAGACGTCCTGCGAACCTGCGACCCTGCGAGTCATTGACACGCACACACAATGCGACGAGGTAGAAGCAACGCCCCCGCAGTGACCCGCGTTTGAATTAATCAACCGAACAATTCGGGTTTATTGTTATTATGTCCGTGACCCGATTTACGCATCCGCCACAAGTCGTACCACAAAGTCGCCCCTTCTTGTTGATAAAAAGTAAATACAGGACGGGGCGAAAAACTAACTCGCTCGACTTGCAAATGACACAACATTTCACTTAGCGCCAGGACATGACAAACAAACAGCTGCCAAGGATGAGGTCTGCCTAATGAGCTTTTGTTTGGGCAGGGCGCGGAAGAACACCCAAGTTGGTTGCGGAAAATGACAACATCCTTGGGCCCTTGCATCTGGGATACTTTTTTGTTTGAAGCCGCAGGCCATAAAAACGGAGAGAAATTTGTTTAGCGGAGGTCAGTGATGGCATATCCCAAGTGGAGGAAAAAAAAAGCCAAAAGAATAATAAAAAATTGTTTCTTAAATTATTTCTTATCCTTTTAAAACCATTAATCAGCATGAAGCCAATTATTAGCAAAAATATTAGCACTGGTAAGCTTAACGGACAGCTCCTTGCTCCTCATAAATTAACTGAGTGCGTCTGTTCTTCTACTTGAATTTAAGTTGCTGCCCCACTGGCCAGGACCTCCGAGGAATTTGTTGCCATTGCTCGGCCACTCCATCTCGTAGTCTCTTATCCTTTGTAGGCGGCACTTCCGCTTCCGGCAGCCATCTTGTGGTCGCTCGCATAAATTAGTTTCCTCCCCATCCGCATCCGCCACCGTCGCACCACTCAACTAATAAATTTAAATCATCGGCCGCATTAAAGTATATTTGGCAAAATGGGGAAGCGTTATATTTACTGTCGGATTTTGTTTCCTTTATCCCAGCTTTGTTTATTCCTCTTGGGTCAGAGACTGTCCAGTTTTTATTTGCCTTTTTCGGGGTTTGCCTTTTCAGCATTTTTTAATCCCAGAAAGCGTGTGGCTCACTCCTGCGGCTCCGCCTGCCCGTGACAACTTCGGCCGAGACTTGTATTTTACTTTTGGAGACTTTCCATAATTTTATGTGCCATGTTTGCTAACAAAAGTGTACAATTTCCACCGCCCGCTTGCCTGCTATCCCGATCCCGAATTAGCCGGCAAGTGGAAAACATCCTTGTACTCGTAAACGCCAACACGCTGGGCATAAAATGCAAATCGAAAGCGCCGCGACTTATTGCTGCCTGTTATTGTAAATTATTTGGCTTCTCCTGTCGGATATGCTTACCGACGGGAGGCGGCCTATTTCCTATTTTATTCGGTTTATATAGGTTTTTGTTTACAACGCCGCTTTGAGATGAATGTTTCTTATGATTTTTGTTTTTTACGGGTGGGCGTGGGACTGTCCACTGATCGGGGGTGTCCACCATTGAGCTCGTGGCCAGCGACTGGAAATTCCTGTCCAAAAACCACCAAAAATTATCTGACACATTTGTTTTTGAAACAAAAATGTATAGCATTCGACTGACGTTTTGTTTATAAACAACAATGCACTATCCTCTTATACGGCGCCGTAATGACTTGGGATATAGGCCATATAGTTCGCTCGGACTTCATTTTCTCCCTGAAATTTCAGCAGTAATATTCCCCCAATTGCTGAAATCACTTTGCATATTTAAGCCACAATATCAATTTCACCGCATAAATTTGTTTCATTTTCGAGTCATTTCTGCAGTGTTTGCGGTGTGTGCTATGTTTTGGGGCTATTTTGATTGGCAACTACGTATGGGCGGGTTGCGGCCAAGCTGTCAGCCAGAGCCCACGCCGCCAAATAAATATCCAAATAAATATCTAGTCCACCCCAGAAACTTATGCAGCCAAACCGATGAAAATGTAATTAAAAAGCTATGAAATTCCAAACCGAAAATTGTTCTGATAGTTTCTAAACGATTTAGGAAGCTTCCTTTATTATGTTCCGATATTTGTATTTTTCTACTATTTCTATAGCAATTCTGATTTTCCGCACCCGTGCCTTTGCTTTCGCTTGGTTTGGCAATATTTTTTATTTATTTGTTTCTCGATGGTTTAGTATTTATGGCTGTACCTATTCTCGGAATATGCCACGATAAATTGTTATATCAATTTACAAAAAATGTTATCCATTGTAGGTTGGATCGGTGGCAGCGAAAATTTGTTGGAATTCTACCCGTTTAATTGGTTGTGATAAAGAATTTTTTATTGGACAAATTTTCCTAGAACATATTCTAGATCCAAGCCTGTACTATTAATTAAAACTGGCAGAAATCTAATCGTGAAATTAATATTTCACAGTAATTCATTGCTTCCTCGGCTACTCAGTAACCTTCGCCTCTGGAAACTTCCGGATGATTTGCATTTTGCCCAGAGTGTTCCTAATTATGCAGTTTTCTGCAGCGCCCACCTCCGCCCCGAACTTTTTCGTATGGCACTTTGCTCTTATTGGGGAGGGGAGCACACCCACCCAGCCAAATAAGATGAAAAACGGTGGCACATTATGAAATATTTGCTGCGCATTTCCAGTAGCCATTTGGCGGCTTTTTGGCTCGAGTCCGGAGGCGTCGACTGCTGATGCGGAAACACTAACGAGAAAAGTCTGCCACAAATTTTGGTGGCGCTGGAAGCCATATTAGATGCATCCCTACATAGTATAGCCGTACATAGTATAGTATGTATTTTTCGTCCATTATTCAGCAGCCATTTAGGATGATTATGGTATTTGTATATCTAGGGAGCTGTAGCGAGCCTAATTGCAGGACCCTTTTGAGAGCGGTATTTTAAATTTAATTTTCCCGAAAATCAAAATACAATGTCGTGGCTGCCGAACAAGGACTAGCTGGGGGCGACAGGCAGACAACATCTTAAAGGATTAAACGAGAGAAAGCAAAAGTGATTGTCAAGCGCCTGGGACATGGCAGGCGACACTTTCTTTCGGCTTTCTCGGGGTTCTACACTCAGCTCCTGATCTACTTGGACGATTTTTTGCCTCATTTGCATAAAAGGGAACCGGCCATAAATTCAGGCCACAGACGGTCGGAACGCGTCTGAGCCGCCTCCAGAAAATCTTGCTGGCGTGTCCTTTGGCGGTTGCCTGACAAATGGCCGCCCTTTCAGGGCTAGGTAAGGCGTGAGCCCCGTCTACCTAGTTTGGCTAGTAAAACTTAATGTGGCTTTTAAGTTTATTGTTTGGATTTTATGGTATTGACTTTAATATGTATAGTTTTTGGTCGTCCAAATGTCTGATATTTTATATATTAAATGTTTTTGGAGATTCTACCTCAAACTGACTTGAAAAAATGATTTATCGGCTTCTAGTTTCTGACCGCCATTTAGGCTACATTACACATACGCCCCATGGGCCGGTCTGTGAACAGCGCCAGCCATTACCATTACTCCAGGTGCTTCTGGCAGCTGCTCTCCCATTCATTCTTTGGTTTTTCTTACTTTCTAGCGCCATCTGTTGTGCATTTTGGCCTGACCTTAACCCCGAAGAAAAAGGAATTTCGTGGCGGAGAAAAGGAATCGCTAATGAAAGCGAATCGCATGGGAAGCCAAAACAAACCCAAAACAAGTCCTCCATTCAGGGACGAACAGCTGACTTAGCTTCCAATCAGCTGTTCGGGCACTGCGCCTGCGCAACAAAACAGGACCAAAGAGAACCATTTCGGATTTAAGAGAGTTGCCTTGCAGAAGCTGTCTGTGTTTGTTTACAAGCATTTACTTTGCGATTGACTTTGTGTGGACCTCAAAGACATAATCCACAGGAAGCAGGTAGTCGGCAACCCCGAAGTTACTGCCAGCAGTCAGCACGGCTACATTACACATACGCCCCGTCGTTCGGGCACAGTCTTCATTGCCTCTCGGAGGCGTTCGCACCGCAGTCGCTCGGTTCCCCCACAAATCATAAGCTACACAAGTCCTCTGCCGAACTGATAGTTTTCGGATCCTAACGAGTCGTTATTATTTTGTGTGACGGTTGCTGATACGTTCTTCTTTAACTGATTTTTTAAACCAGTTTTTAAAACGATATAAACTTGAGCAGAGATTTTAGCTTAAAACTAAAATGATGTGCATATTTAAGTGATAAAATATATAAAACCATAATATTGTGACACTGGTAATAGCAACTAAATGTGTGTTTAAAAAGCAGCTGCAGATCGCTCCATAAATCAAGGCCAGAACAGCCCTTTGGGCCCTAGTAGTGCAGTAAGTGTCAGAATATTTGTCCTCTTCCAGAAAAATATTTGTGAAACAATAAATTGCCAGACCTACCTCCGCAGTGCCATAAATAACCCAAGAATTCCGTGAAGTGTTTTCATTTGTAAATAATTTAATGGGGGAAGTGGGGAGCCTGTGCTTGTCAGGTGCAACTTAAATTCCTCGAAATCAAGCTCTGATCGAGTGGCTCTCATAAATTTCGAAAAAAGTTTAATCTGCTCGAAGGTATCTCCAGACTTGGGAGTAATTGAAGTGTTGTCAGGCATTTTGTTGTACTTTCAAAGATTTTATCGAGACTAATGCGTTTTAGTAAATTGGATACTTTTGATTTCGCGTTGGTGCTATTTTTCACTGTAAGAAATTAATGGGGGTGTTGGAGCGCAGTCCTCGTTCAGCAAATACTTGATCCATAAGCTCGACAAAGGGGCTGGCAAAGGGTCACCAACTTGAGGCCCTCAGAAACGTCACTCTCAGGGAACTTCAAGGATTCTCGGCCATCCCTTTGCCAGTCTATTGTCCCTGTGATTTCTCTATCATCGAAATTCTGAGCGAAATATAAATAAAGCCAAACGGCGACGACAAAAAGTGACTTTGGCCATGTCCTGAAACAAAGCAAACAATCACAAAATGGCACTGGCACTAGGCAAATACAAGGGCTGACCGCTTGCACGTGACAACACAGCAATGAAAGGGAATAACAAAATGGCAAAAAATTCACATTGACACAGAATCTGAATCTCTAAATGAGACTCGGGTGGTAGAAAGTAATTATTTCTATTTTTTTAAAAGCTTAAAAAGTATCTCTTAAACTAAATTAAACTTTATTCAATTAAAGTTAGGCTTTTACAAGCAAAGCTCTCTGTTTTTAATTTAAAAGTCTATTTTTAAAGTCTCTATAAAATATGAAAGAATAGGATTCCACATGTGTTTTTTTGGTGATTTTCTCCATTTTGGAAACTTTTGAAAACTAATCATAAAGAACAACAACGCAGCGACAAACAAAGTCATCTGTCAAACTGAGCCAAGCAAACAAACAAATGAGCAAAAAACACAACAAATTTAATTAAAGCGACCATGACACTCGCTCGATAGACCGTACTCCCCGCATCGAGGTATCGAAAGTGAAACTTTAACATAGTCATTTCATAAAAGTTTTGGGCTTGCTAACGTTCGTTTCCTGCCGCCGAAACAGGATAAGATTTTAATCAAGAGTCGCTGGAAAGTTTTCGGCAACTTCCCAACTGGAAACTGCTGCTTCAAGCTTGAGACAATTTCCGTCAATTTTTTTGTTTTTTTTTTTTGCCTATACTTCCCCTATAAATTATAAATTATTTTCCAGCTCACCAGCAATCTTTGCCACAGCAGAGCAAATTGTCTGATTTGCATAAGAGCGTCGTATGCGTAATAATGATCCAAATCAGGCCCGACGACTTGCCTTATTGACTCTTTATTACTTTATTTGCGCAGTCGAGAATTCAGATTCGGTTTGGATTTCCCTCAGTTGCCTTCGAATATCGAATAGAATTATGTTTTCCTGAGGTCCTCTGTGTGTGTGGTGTGTGTGTGTCTTTGCTGCTGGTGTGTTATTGTTTTCGCCTTTGTTTCATGCACGCACAAATATTTCCCTTTCGAGTTTCGCTTTTTGCGTAATTTGAGTTGATTTGCGATAAGCGGGGGCTGCTGGCTTCGATTGTTTTCACCCACCCACCGTACATTTTCCCCCGCACTTGGGGTCGCCATCCTTTGACCTCGGTTGACATCGCACTATAGGAAATATGACCACTTTTTCTGGCCAAAAATAATATCTCAATAACGAAACAAGATATTTAAGTTCTGATTTTTGATTTGAGTTCACATGATCAATAGATTTAAGATTTAAAAAAAATGTGGGCGTGGCACCGCCCACTTTTTAAGAAACACATTCTAACTCAAAAACTATGCAAGATATTTAGATTTTGATTTTTGATTTGAGTTTATATGGTCAAAAGAACTCAGAAATGAAAAAATTGTGGGCGTGGCACCGCCCCCTATTTAAAAATAACATGCTAACTGTTCGGTTTTGCAGTAGTCTCACAGCTAACAGATTCACATTCAAGGTGTTGAGGTTGCCTCCTTATATTATGAATTTCTTCGAAAGTGCATAAAAGGTCATATTCATATTACACTCATTTGAAGAAAATTAAACAATCTACAACATGGACTAAATTACATTGTCCGACTCGGCCAGACTTGGTTTAAATCTCTTTTTAAAAATGTGATTTATTTCTAAAAGTTTCTTTTGCTAGACTACTTACATTTTCACTTTATTAAAAAGACAAAACAAGTTTTTTGGACACTTCACATACACAAACACATAATACAAACCACATTGAGAAGTATTCATTTCAAAACTTTTGATTTTGTCCATAAAATTTTCAGTATTTGCGTTTTTAAAATAGCACCAAAAAATCTTAAATTCTAAGCTCATGCAAATGTTAACATCAACAGCTGTTTTTAACAGCGGATTTTTTCGCAGTGGCGCCATCTATGGAAATTTCTGGTACGCAACATTAAAAATTAATCTATTGTGAATGATATGCAGTTAAAATTATTTATATTCTTTAACTTTCAAAAAATGGTTTTTGGCCAGAAAAAGTGGTCAAATTTCCTATAGTGCATCGTGCGGGCGCCTATTTGCAGGCAATGCTTATTTTTTATGCTCGCCTGCCGAGATTGGAGGAGGAGGAAGTGGGCCGACCTTGTTACGGGTTGTACTTGGCATCAGATTTTTATGAAACAGATATGCCAAAAATATCCAACAAAATCCCCTGCACGTAGAGCCAATTACATTAAAATTACTTTTGGCGTTGCCATGGGCCCACAACGTTTAAGATATCGTTACAATTGAAACATTAAATTCGGAGAACATTTTCCCTTAAAGCATTATGGGATATTTTTCCTTAAAGTCTCGCCTCATGGATGATTGGAGTCACCACCCCCCAAGCTTAGTTACGAATGCAGCTCCATGGAAACAACTGCAACTGCCAGTTTGACGCCCCCGCAATCGCCTGGAGCCGACATAGGAAAGTTTATTCATGTTTTGGACTTTTCAACCAACAATTTATTAACAACACCAAAAAAGTGGAAACTTTTGGGCCACAGCAAAGCAAAGTCGGGGCAGAAAATTTGCGACAAAAATGTTCGTGGCGAACGCTTCAGGCGCTTTCCAGCCCACACAGAAGGGGAATATTCGCGATTAAAGATGGCATAACTTCCAGAAAGCCACAGAAATTAGAATGCACGAGGCGGCTCTTGAATAATTTATAAACGCTTAGGCAAAACACTAGACAGCCAAATAGGATTAGGGCCAGCACAGAGCTGGAAATGCAATTTAGAGGCTCTCTGTTTTCTCTGCTTTGGCAACCAGTTTCGAACAATCCCAGATGCTTTTCTGGTTGTGTCCCTTTTGGCATCATTACAGCCGAGAATGCCAAAGGACCGGCCATAACATGACCATGACACCTTAATGAAGCTGCGTCAGGAACATTCGGAACAGCGAACGGCCATTAAAGTCCCGAAATGTGTCCGATGAATTTAACAGTACGCCAAAATCATTTCAGTCAAGCACTTCTTTTCCGTCCGCCTCATCACACTTTCATGAGAAAGGCGGCCAGGTGGCCAGAAGGTGCCCGGGAGGAGCTCAAAGGGCTGCCATTAGTTCACCATTTTAGCCGTTGCTGCTGATTATTGGATTGCCGGGAGATCATGACGGCGTCAAGTGTCCCCCGTAATAGTTGTCTTTATGACATGATAGGAAAGGACAACGTGGAAAAGGGTTCCTTTTAATATCCATGGGGTGCACAGCTGGAGGAGCCACTGCCGTTCGCTAACAACTTTTGGATGTCACCGCCGCAGTGACCCAACACGTAAAAATGGGGCTGGGCGAAGACATGAAAACGGAATCCATTTAAATTACATTTCAATGTACGAGAAGACAGAATACACTAGACACAAAAAGGGTAATCATCCAAAGATGGAGAGGATATGACTAGAAATGGGGCTTTGGCCATTATACAATGAATTTCTCTCGGTGGATCTGATTCGACGCTGTGGAGTCTAAGTACTTCCATGCCAGGCACGTAATAGACAGCATTCCGAAACTGCAAACGCCTCTCTCATTTATTTATTGCCAAGCAATTGCAGCAATCAAATCGAAAGGAGCAGGACAACACTCCTTCCCCCGCACACACACACACACACACTATTTCTATTACGGACAAAGTTTTCCGGAAAAGAAGGGCCTGGGTGGCTGGCTCGATCGTCATGTGTGCGTGTACTATTTGGCTTCGTGTCGGGCCCAGGCCGGGCCGAGTCAAGCAAACAAATCATGACTATAGCCGGCTATAGCTCCGGCTTCCAGTTCTGAGCCCTGTGTCCTCTGAACTCTGAGGGGAGGTTGGACTTTTTAATAGCGCGAAAACGCATCGCCAACTGCCATACACTTTGGCATAATTGGGTCATAAACTAGTCCAAGGATCCGCCTCGAATCTACGGCCCTTCGATGATGGCTGATGACCTTTGGAGTGCGTGCTTCATTTCGATAAAGTGCAATCTGTTGTTGGCGCATAATTAAGGGAATGTGCATGGGATTTGCATGGCAAAGGACTCCGACAGGCATTCTCATTGGAGTGGAATACAGTTCGAATAACTTGCCCAAATGATGGCCTCTTCACATTTCATTTATGAGCACTGTGTTGCAGCACAATAGCGTTCAGTAAGATGGCTAATCAATGAGTAGCCTTCGTGGTCTACTAACTTCAGCTTTAATTGAACAACTTCAATGGCCTGTGCTACTTACTTACTGACTGGTTTAACTTACTTTTAATCACGAATAGACCTTATCTTCATTACGATGTTCTAATTACAATAATCTCGTTCTGCAACTTCGAACTACCGCAACCCCGCCCTAGAGCTAATTGGTTTCCCCCGATTGCCTTGAATGGTGGAAT